CGCTCTTCTCTTTTTGTTTTTAGGTCATCATGAATATATAACCAATTCCACATTTATTTAATTCCTATATATAAATAAAGAGTGTTATTTTGACACCCTGTTTTATAAGGGAAAGTTGACATTTCCTATTCATAACATATCATTAATCTGATGCTCCCTCTATAACATAAGCGATACCCTAGTTGTTATACATATAAATTATAATAGCATTAGGGGCGTTTTTTCTCCTCCAAATCAATATTATAATCGAGCGTAAAATTCAAGATTGGTGGCTCAACCAGTCAATTCGGATCCGAGTCCCCATTTAGAAAAGGGTATTCAAATGGATTTTTTCGATCTTTTGAAAAACGTAATAAGCTCGGTAAACTTCAAGACATTGTAAAAAAAAATAATTGAGCTTACATTATTTATTCGACGTTGGAAAAATGTCAAAATCAACAAGTTGAGTCATCCTCCCCTCTCTATAATAATTTGTCCGCCAGTCTTTTTTTTTTTTGTTTATATATACGCCAAATAGTGTTTTTAAAAGTAGCTGTACCTGAAAAAAAAAAACAAAATAGTAATTTCAATTAATTAGCATTAATTACATTCCATCTCATTCAAAAGAATGAATGATGACCAAATGAGGGAATGAGATGAAAACTTTATTTTGTTCCATTTTGCCCTCTAATTAAGCTTTTATTCACTTGTATAGCATATAATGAATTATTAAATATTTAATCATAAACTCATTTTCGCAGACAGAAGTCCGCCGATGGCTACGATTCTGAAGTTTGACCGGATCCCATTAAGTAGGGTTGGGTACGGGTCGGATACCTGCGTTTTTGGAGATACCCGTCTTCGTTTTCGTCTTCGCGGGTTTTAGAGAAATGTTATCTCTATCTCTATCTCACAACATCCGGATACCCGTCCAACGGATACCCATAACTAAAAAACGGGTACCCGCGAGTACCCGTACCCGTATGTAAAATATTAAACAATATAAAATTAAATTAAATAATCAATAAAAAAATATACATATTTTATTCCAAAAATACATTTTTAAATTTGAAAATTCTTAAAATATAATAATATGCATAGAATCCTAGAAACATTTTAAAAAATATACAATAATTTGAAGTTGAATCCATCAAAACTTGAAAATCCAATATATAATCTTAAAGGTAAGTAAAATAACCTAAGTATTTTTAAAATTATATTAAAAACATAAGGTTAATTTTGTAATTTTAATATATATGCGGGTACCCGCGGATACCCGTTATTTCAATATGTAAAACCCGAACCCGAACCCGTATGACGGGTATTCTAGTTTTTAATACTCGTTTTCGTCTTCGTTAGATGTCGAGTATCCATTTTTCGGGTATCCACGAGATCGGATATCCGCTTACCCGCGGATAACGGGTTTAAATGCCCAGCCCTACCATCAAGGGCATTAATATTATTCTAAACAAATCAAGATTTTATTGGCGACAAAAAAACACAAACATAGGTTGCTTTTTCTTGATAGTGGGATTATAAAAAAAAAAAGTCCTGGTCAATATTTTGCCCAATATCATGCCAATTTCGGTGCTAATCATCATCACCTTGGACTTTTAATTTAAATTCAATACAATAGAGAATCATATATGTTATTATTTTCAATTCAAAATTTATTTCATTTTTTCATTATACTTGGCATGGTGGTGAAGAGGTCAAGCACGAAATGATTGTGTCCCGAAGTGGACGTTAGCAAAAAGCTTCCAACACTTTTCTCCCCCTCTCTTCATTATTGTATTTGTACCCCAAAAAAAATCTCGTAATTTTTAGATAATAACATGATACGCACCGATTCTTTCTTATTATCCATATAGGTCTAAAGTATGCAATGATTTAGTGTGTGTGTATATATAATTATATATACAAATATTTTTTTATGGGAGTTATGGGAAACACCATACATTTGGCGATGCCCAAATTCGTATGGAGTAAATATCAAATGGGCATTTAGCACATGTGTAACCATTGGTGTTCCATTTCTTGTGTGTGTGTGTGTATATATATATATATATATATGGAGAAAGAGAGAGAGAGCCATATGGATGTGCACGCATATATGAGGATGCATGGTATGGCATGATAAATGTGGAAGCGACATGAAGAACAAGATGGGCCAATGGAATTCAAACTTTATACCGAGAATGGGCGACATGATAACATGCCTCTCCTCTTCCTCAATTTGGCTTTTTCATAAATTTATGATTGATGATTCAGTATTATTATTTTGTAATTAAAAAAACGAGAAATCGCCATAAAAACCCTATACTCTTCCCACGTCAACGAAAAAACCTTGTATTTTTTTTACCAATTAAATCCTATACTTAGTCTGATTAACTAATAAAACCTCAAATTTATTAATAATTCACCAAAAATCCCCACGTCTGTCAACTCAAACAAAAATGATGATGTGACAATGACTTGGTTTCCAAGTTATGTACATATCATCAAAATTATAACACATCTTTATTTCAAACAAAAATAAATTACATAATTTATTTAAATTAATTTATATACATATAAATTCACACACACATATATATATATATTAAATATAAAATTATTTATAACTAATAAAACACACACACATATATATATATATTATAAATTACATTATAAATAATATATATATATATACATATATATTATTTTTTAATATATATTGTATATATATTAGTTATAATTACTTTTATTTTAATATGCATATTAGTTATACATATATATATATGTTACATGTATAACTAATATATATACATATACATAGTATTTTTAATAGATACATTATATGTGTATGTGTTA